GGGGTTTCACCATGTTGACCAGGATGGTCTCGATCTCTTGACCTCGTGATCCACCCGCCTCGGCCTCCCAAAGTGCTGGGATTACAGGCTTGAGCCACCGCGCCCGGCCTGGTCTCGATCTCTTGACCTCGTGATCCACCCGCCTCGGCCTCCCAAAGTGCTGGGATTACAGGCTTGAGCCACCGCGCCCGGCCCCTGGTTAGTTTTTTAATCATTTTCTTTACGCCAGGTGTGACAGATACTCTTAACTCCTGTCACTCAATATATATAGCCATTACTTTTCAAAGAGATTTAGAACCAACAAAATGTTATTCCACCTAAATATCTTCAATTAAAAGGAAACAAAATAGGCCAGGTGTGATGGCTCACACCTGTAATACCAGTAATTTGGGAGGCTAAGGTAGGCAGATCACTTGAGGTCAGGAGTTCGAGACCAGCCTGGCCAGCATGGCAAAAGCCCAACTCTACAAAAAAAAAAAAAAAAAAAAAAAAAAAAAATTAGCAGGGCATGGTGGCACATGCCCATAATCCCAGCTACTCAGGAGGCTAAGGCATGAGAATCACTTGTGCCCGGGAGGCGGAGGTTGCAGTGAGCCGAGATCACACCATTTCACCCAGCCTGGGTGACAGAGTAAGACTCTGTCTCCCCCGCCACCCAAAAAAAAACAAAAAAGGAAAAATGGTTCCAGGCACATACATATAAACAACAATAGGGAAGAACAATATAAAAGATAATCTTTCCAACAAAGAAAAATGGCCAGGTGCAGTAGCTCGCGCTTGTAATCCCAGCACTTTTGGAGGTCGAGGTAAACAGATCAGTTAAATACAAAAATTAGCCAGGCATGGTTGGCATGTGTCTGTAACCTCAGTTACTTTGGAGGATGAAGCAGGAGAATCACTTGAACCAAGGAGGTGGAGGTTGCAGTGAGCTGATATCATGCCATTGCACTCCAGCCTGAGTGACAGGGCAAGATTCCATCTCAGGGAAAAAAAATAAAAAGAAAAGTATTAATTATCAAGCACATTCTAGGGGAAGAAAATAAGACTAGTCAGAGAAAAAAAAAACTGAGTACATTTGAAAAACAAACTACAAACGATAAGCTTTTGCCCCATTAAATCATGTAGAATACATGTAGAATACACTTATATACCAAAAAAGGTCTAAAATGTCAAGTAAATTGTGGAATAATCACAAATTAGTAACTTACAATGGAAACATCCTCAAATTGTTTTTTATGAAATGTGTTAACTCACCTGGTAGCGATCAACCATCAGAAATGCATAGGATTCTGAAAGTTCCTTATCTAAACGACCATCAAACTTCAGTTCTCTTCGCTTTTCTGTAAACTAAATGAAATTAAATTTTTAACAACTCCTTAGCATGTGATTATGTTTTTCAAGCTACAAGTTTTAGATTTTTTTCCAAGAAATCACAAACCTACCAAAATGGAAAAATAATCTCTCTATATATTCTCTGTCCTTCAGTTTTTCCCATATTTTAGTTGGCTCTTTATATAGAATATAGTCAAATAAACATCTATTGCTCATCAATCTTAACTAAATTTCTATTATAATTTTACCACATTACAACTCTCCCAAATTATAAATCCATGCTTATTGTTGTATCTTCCATTCTACTTAACATAGTACACTGCATCCAATAGATGGTTTAATAAATCTGCTGAATGACCAACTTCTAGGCTATAAACTCAATTAGGACAAGAAAAATGTTTTTCTCTGTAACTGCATTCTCAATGCCAAGCACATAAGATGTGCTCCATACGTATTTATAGGGCAGAAGAGTGACTTCATCTTAGCAGTCGAAACTATCCTAAACTGCTGGCTTTCCTATCTATAAAATAGATATGCATTTAAAATATAAAATATCTGACATTTTATATTCAGGCTATTACTGTTCTTCAATAATATAACTTATGAATCTTCAGACTAAATTTTTTTATAAAATTAACAAATAATCTCTATATACCATGAAGCCACATCAAACTACTAAGATTTTAATTTTCTCGGGGATCCAGTAACACTAATGCCCTTTAGGGAAACTTTCAAAATTAAATCCTGCTCCCACCTGGTTAAACAAATTGTAAAAATAAAAAATTCATATTTCAGGTCCATTAGGAAAGCATTATATACATCAAATACTTTGAAATATCTAAACCTGCTGGCTTTTTCTAAATCCAAACTCAAACATTCCAATTTTTACAGGAAACTCAGTTCACTGTCTAACATGCTCAACTGTTCCTCTGTTTGAACTTTTGCACTAAAAATATCCACTAATGATATTATCATAATATAGCCACCAGGCAATAATGGTAGAAAAAATTAAGGATATCCTAAAAACATACACACACACATATTTGATTTCATTAATTACCTTCCAATTTAAGTATTTAATTAACATGTACTACCCTCAAAGAGAAAAAAGCCCTATAATTTACAATTTATTTATTTACTTATTTATTTGAGACAGAGACTCGTTCTATCACCCAGGCTGGAGTGCAGTGGCTCCATCCCAGCTCACTGCAACCTCTGCCTTTCGTATTCAAGCAATTCTTACACCTCAGCCTCCCAAGTAGCTGGGATTACAGGCATGTGCCCCATGCCTAGCCAATTTTTGTATTTTTAGTAGAGATGGGTTTCACGACGTTGGCCAAACTGGGTCTCAAACTCCTGGCCTCAAGCAACCCACCCACCTCGGCCTCCCCAAGTGCTAGGATTACCAGTGTGAGCCACCACGCCCAGCCAAATTTACAATTAAAGCATGAAATAGTAAGCTATCCCAATACTTAAGATTTTCAGAAAAGAAGTTATTTTACATAATTGCATATTAATAATTTAACACAGCAGATAAATGTAATGCTACAGCAACAACATTTGGGGAAAAAAGATGCCATTTAAAACTTGTTTTCCCGGCCAGGCACAGTGGCTCACGCCTGCAATCCCAGCATTTTGGGAGGCCAAGGCGGGCGGATCACGAGGTCAAGAGATTAAGACCATCCTGGCCAACATGGTAAAACCCTATCTCTACCAAAAACACAAAAATTAGCTGGGTGTGGTGGCGCTCACCTGCAATCCCAGCTACTCAGGAGGCTGAGGCAGGACAATTGCTTGAACCGGGGAGGCAGAGTCTGCAGTGAGCCGAGATTGTGCCACTGCACTCCAGCCTGATGCCTGGCGACAGAGCGAGACTCTGTCTCAATTTAAAAAAAAAAAACTTGTTTCCCTTTGTAATTTGGTTCTCCTAAAAATTTTAGTATTTCTAGAGAAAAATTTTTTCCCAGGCTGTTAACTGGTTCTGAAATCAATCTTACAGTAAGTAGTTTAAAACATACCTCCTTTTCCAAAAGCTCATTGTGTATCAAGCAAGCACGTTTGTAGTTAAAATTTGTTACTGAGGTTGGTTCAAGGTAAGATGAATGGAGAATATTTACAACATCTTCAAATTCTCGAGAGCCTGGAGTTAATGGCTGGAAAAGTGCTAAAATAAAAAAACAGACATTTTAAATGTTTAACATTACTCATCTTAAATATAGCTTCTCATATTTTTGTGTGTTAATGTAACTTTAACATGAAAAAAGGCTATCTTACTTTGCAACATGCAAAACAGATACTTATTAACTCACTGAAAAAAAATTAAAACTAGTTAGCTACATATACCAGGTTCCTTCAGCAATGAGGATCTGGCACTACATACACAGACAAGGAGGTTGCAATTTTGCAAACCTTAAGCCCTGCTATATTAGGCAACCTAAATTGCTTAAAGACTCTTAAAAGAACCTGTTTATAGTCAACTTGTCTCAGCTCCTATTTTATGTTACACTAAAGATGTCTCAGACTGCGTATTTCACCAAACTAAGTATCTATATACCATGTATGAGAGCATAAAAACGAGACACTATTTGAAGTAACAATATTCTTGGTTACTGACACACTGCTCTTTAAGTTTAAAAAAAGGGCTGGGAGCAGTGGCTCATGCCTGTAATCCCAGCACTTTGGGAGACTGAGGCGGGCGGATCACGAGGTCAAGAGATCGAGGCCATACTGGCCATGCTGAAACCCCGTCTCTACTAAAAATACAAAAATTTTTCGGGCGTAGTGACAGACACCTGTGGTCCCAGCTAATCGGGAGGCTGAGGCGGAAGAATCGCTTGAACCCAGGAGGCGGAGGCTGCAGTGAGCCGAGATTGTGCCACTGTACTCCAGCCTGGCAACAGAGCAAAACTCC